CGCGGCCCTTGGCTGCCGACCCTCGAGGAATATGGGCTAAGAGGTGGTAGCTGCAGGAAGTAGCATATTGCAAAGGCTTTTAAGGTATCTTCATACATGAAATTGTGGAGAGAATCATGCAGTTGATAGAACATGCCATCATACCATTCAATGGAGAAGATATGCACGTCTACCTTTTGGCTTTTCGCCTCAAGGTATATTTCCTTTTCCCCTAATTAGCACGATCAGCTATGAGAAAATATATCCCTTTACACAACCTCTTCCCATTCACCCAACAAATACATTTCTAGTGATTAGTATGTTGTTTAAACCATTGTACACGGTTTGATCGTACATACCTAGTACGCCACGTCTCATCCCGACCCGTTGTCAAACTAAACCCAGCGTTGTGAAAGAACATTCGGTCGATTCTACCGAGTCGTACAGTTTGCTTATCACAAAGATCGAGCCAAAAGGCTGAGTTTGTGTTGCTGCGGATGCTTCAGCGGGTACGTCTTCAATAGACCCTTGCATCTCCAACTTTCCCAACACCAGTACTGCAGGTGGAAGAAACGCCTTGTTGGCAGGGCTATTGGTTGGGTTCAATTCGAAATCTATTCAGGGATTCCACGCCGTCAGACTACTGGGGTCATCAAGTTGGGTCGTGTGCGAGCAAGCAAGTAAACCCAGCCACCATTTCCCCAAAGAATTATTTTCAACCAAACAGAAAAACGCGTCAGAGCTATTCATTTTTGGAGGAAAGAAAAAGCGAATATTTTGGAGAGAAACGAGGTCGAATTTCGGGGGGTTTGTTCAGACAACGCCAGTTGTCAACAACTACCAGCATCATCAACATCGTCATTTCAAGATTTCTAGAAACGTCAACAAAAAAGTCCAGTCGAGTTCAACAGGCCATGCTGAGAAGGGTTTCATATCCACTTAAATAATTACGCTTTCTCCATTCCCACGTTTCCCCGAATAGTCCACATTCTACCCGGTACCCATCCCATCCCATCTTATCCCATGCTTCTCATTCCCCTTCCGCCCCCTCCCTGAATTCTTTTTATAATCCTAGTTCTTACTACCCACCAGACCACCTACATTTTAATACAAGACCCATGAGGATTGGTTGCCGCCTGAAGGAAGTGAGTTTTTATTCCTAGGAAAATCCCGAGTTGACATATATGTAACTTGGCTTAGAACTGCGTGTATCGCAACATCGCCTTATCGATATTGTTGTATTCAACGCCGAGCGTTGTTTAACATACGATACACAACCTAAAGGACAGCAGCACAACTGAAGAAAAACACAACGAATGTTAGCAATTTACGAAATTCGAGACACTAGATCCAAGAAGAACAAGCTCCATCATCATACAGTTGAAAATTGAACAATTTCGATGGTTTTATATTTTACGCTTGCGACAACTTGATAACAATATCAATACAAAACACAAAACAAAACAACACAACAAAACAATCCCTTACGAACGAGGAGGACGACTCAACAACGCAATTTTTCCTCTAGATTGTTAGTGTCAAAACTCTGGGCTTATCTTTTGGGATGGAATATCACATTTCGTAATCCTTTTCTTTTGAAATTTTGTATGGAATAGGAGGAATCAATCCGAGGTTTCATTGCTTACCTCCAGACGGAGGCTTTGCTGACAGGACGGCAAGACAAGGCAAGGCAAGACAAAAAGTTGGAAGCAGTGTCGCGGCATCGGAATCGGAATTGGTAGCTCTGGTCGGCAAAGCGTGTGGAGAGTAATAATTTCAATTCGATCATAGCAAGGAGGAAGCTAAAAGGAAGAGGAAAGGGAGTACCTAAGTCAAGGTTCACCGGATATTCTGTCGTCTGTAAGAACACCTTTTGATACCCACTTTGGGACTCTCTCTTCGATTTCCACTATCATCACCATTCTTTCTTGCCATTACTCATCCAATTCTTTTCCTTTTTACCACTTTGCTTAGATCTCTTTTTCGTTATCAAAGGTTTCTACGGTACAGTTGTTCGCCGTTATACATTTCCCTACCCAATGGTTATACAGTTGGGCTCCAACGACCATTTTTCTCATCTACCTCTTAACTTCATTGCCCATTACCCTTTCAAGGACGGTGACCATTGTTCCCGTCCCACTTCACCCCCTCACGTCACTTTTCCACAATGGTGTCGGATTTCCCTTCTAATTCCGGTTCCCAAAAAGGTCAAACTGCATTGCTGCTCTGAGATTTGAAATTAGTACTTTGTCAGATCTAGGATACACTACCTTCCAGATTAGAGCCATCCCATTCACACCTAATCTCAGTCTTCTTTCCATTGATCATTACATCACCATATTGCATAAACTAGAGTTTCTCCCTTGGGAGTCAGGCTATCTAGTAGTCCAATTAAACTACATCTGAGACAATTCCCATTCTCTTCCAACTTCATAACACAAATCACATTTTGAGGGAGGGATTGGCTCATCAACTTTGTCACATAGTAGTTCATTCCATCGCATGAAAACCCCCAAAAGAATTTGATCTCTCGCAACTGTCAAACTCGGAAACCAAGGGCTCGTACCGTATACGTCTTCTTTCACGCAATAAGGAGTTCGTATGGAACTTGCGCCCTTGACCATAGATCCACAATATAGCCTACGGTTCACACTAGGCAGATATTGGTTCACGATACTGCTAAGGGACGATAGTTGCATTGGATTCCAAAGTGCGAATCATCCAACGTCATAGTTCTCTAAAATATCTGAAGGTTTCCAATCACTCTTCCGATACCCTTTCTGATTTAACGAAAGTCCGCAAGCTATTCACAGGAAACCGGTACATTAAAGTGAATTTCAAGACTCCTCGCAACATCTTGATCTTAAGCAAAGCCCAGAGTTATCGGTTGACCAAAAAGCGGATCGCCGGCGACTAGTTTAATCACGTCTATTTTAACCACGACTGTCCTTCGTTTGGATCGATCCAACTAGTAACGCGCCATCCCAACAGGTTGCAAGGCCAGGCTTGATACGCCCAAGCAGAGATTTCAATCAATCAATAGAGTCACCCTTATCAATTGAAGCGTTTTATGTGGATGCCGTGGATTTTTGAGGCTACCTACCCACTAGCTTTGAAGATATATACATATCCCAAGGGCAACGTCGATAGAAATTAGGCCAATCACGAGGTTTATATCGTTATAGTGCCATCGACTAGAGTGTTTTGAATAGGGGGAGTGCAACTTGAGAGAAAAGACAATAATTCTTTACGTGAGAATTGTTGCCGGGCCATTTTTCGCAACTCTAGGAAAGACTCGGCCATAACAAGTACTGTTGGACGATTTTAAACTTTCTCGTCGCAGAAGAGTTCAAGGTAGCCACTCAAGCATCTATCGACCATTCCCGTGCCAAGATTGCAGTTGTGGTCTACAATCATTATAAGTGGGAGATATCATTGTGTACTTGGCATTTGTCGACGGAGTGATAACCTTTGGATCGACAACACACTCACTGTGTCGCATGGGTTTGTTTTGAACTCACTGTCGCTATTACTGACCGATCCGAATCAAGTATTCAGAATCACAAGATTAGTTGAATGCGCTCTTACCCAAACAAGTTGAGCGACGACACCTAGTTGTCACCATTAAGAAAGTATAACGGCAATAATTTCCAACAAACATTGAGAACGGCGCCAATACCGCGAATCTCAAAATCTTGGTTCGAACACCACGCCAATATCATAATATTAATTCGTTTCCCACGTACCTATCTGGGTAGTCACCAATTCGAATTCCGTCATCATTTCATCATCCGCCCACAATCGTCAATTATTCCTCTTCCTCTTCCTGCTCATTCGGTACATTCCGTTACACAGCTGCACGGTCCTAGAATTCATCACAATCTCAATTTGTTACAAATTCATCATCTTCCAATCATTGAAGTCGATGTTCAACGATTTCTCCCTATACCTCGTTAACAATTTTGACACCTCGGTATAATAATAAAGTGTTGATATTCAAACTTGCGGAAAGAGCACGACATATACACACAAACACACACACACTAAAGGCGGATACTTCCTATGCTTGGTTTTCTTGACAGAAGGACACGCATAGCCAAGATTGGTTGAAGAAAGTTGCAATCGACCGGCACGAATCATACCCCCGTGCCCCTCCATCTTTCTTTACCCCTCCAACCCAGGAAGCGCAATCTGCAGGGAAACTGAGTTTTAAGATCCCGGTCCCACCACAACGGTCAAGCCAGGTCAACCCCCCCAACGACCCGAGGACAGTCATCAATCCATTTTCAAGACGAACCACTAGTGGGATGTGAATCGCAGCACTTCCCATTAATCCTACGCACTTTTCCGTCCTTAAATTCCTGTTTGGGACTAAAGGCTTTTCGACTTCCATCGTTTTTGGCGTGCTTCGAGATACTTTGGCTACTAGCTCGGAGATCGAGAATTGCTACCTGATTCGGTCTAACACCAAACACACACACACACAACAACACACTTACACGACTTACTTACTGGGCTTACCTCACTTACTCGACTTGGTCAATTCGGTCGGAGAATAAAGTATTTCGACAAACTTTATACAGAATACGTTTTCTTAGTGTCAATCCGACACTAAGTGGGGAAATATTCATTTCAGTACTAGTCTTCTTTGACTAGTGAGAAAGTAAATCGTCTTTCAGTCTGTCGGGTCGTTCATCCACCAACTCTACTTACTACAAACTACTTACCAAGTCTCGGGAATTCTATCTGGGACTTTAAAAGAACCAGCTTCCCCTCATTCCTCCGCCCTCGACCAACATAATTTTCACTTTTTTCACTTCTCCTCTCCCCTCCCCTTCAACGATAGTAATCTTAATTCCTTCAACTCTTCACATCCAAGCAACAATTTGCAGCTGGGCTGTCGCAAAAAGATAGATTACATTCTTTAACAAACTCTGTCGGTATACAACACACAACTCACAACACACAACACACAACTCACAACTCACAACTCACATAACCTGTCACTGCTTTTGCTCCAAATGTCGCACTCTTTTACTCAACGCATCAGACCTGCACCAACGCATCAACGAGTCTCTCGAGAAGAAAACCCAAATCATCATCAGTCTGTTCAAACTTCACCAGGAGGGGAGACAATTCATGGTTCACCTCGTTTACTTCGTTATCCAGGTTTGTCGGATCAAGAGGTTCTGGACCGCGTCGAATCTATCATAAATTCGACAGCTTCACATGCACCAGCAAGCACTTTGGCACCATTGAACTCAATTCCTGACACTATGTCCCCACATCCATCTCATCTCTACAATGGACCAGTAGTCATTCCCCGTCATCTACGATCAAGAAGCGGCAATTATCGTTCTTCCCCTCCAGCTGGACAAGACACTGGGGTAACACATACACCAACAAGCGGCGCGGATCATTCCTCTCTTCCAGCTGGACGAGACGCTTCGGTAACACACACATCAACAAGTGCCGGACCAGATAACTCTTCCCGCTCAACGGCTTGGGACAATCCGGTAGCTTATGCAATAGAAAATAGATTGACGTATCCTAGTTATCGCCCTCAAAGTGCTCCAGATAATTCCATGTCGGAACGTGCACTAGCAGGTGGCAGATCAGATTATCCCTCTCGCCCAGCGAATTCAGAAAATCCCCTAGCATATGCATCAAATAATGAATCGCAATATCCTCACAATGCTACCCAAAGTGTTTCTGAGAACCGCAGATCGCACGATACAAATCGCGCCCATCAAGGTGTCCCAGATGATCGCGTGTCACGTCGTACAAGCTATACTCCCCCAGATGTTCCAGACAATCGCACCCCGCATCACACAAACCCCCAAGGCCAATACTCTGCAGTCGAACCGTCTAGCTCGTACAGTGTAGCACAACGTTGGGACTCGAGCACTCGTGCATCTGCCTACCAAGAACCCTATCGTCCCTATCTAAACAATGGACCACAATATTCTGGACAGTATCAGGAGCCTATTCAAGATGGCAGACCCATGCCGGCAGGATACGATGCACCTCCCCACCATTCTTTCCGTGACGGTAGAGGCTATTCGCAACAACCCCCTCCTCCTACATATCGTCACCATTCTTATCAGGATAGTAGAGGCTACTCACAACAGCAACCCCCTCCTGCAACTCGCCACCATTCTTATAATGATGAGAGAGGCTATCCACAACAGCAGCACCCTCCTGCACCGTCTCATCATCCTTACCAAGATAGCAGAGGCTATCCGCAACAGCAACCCCCTCACCCACCTCACTATCCTTATCATGACGGTAGAGGCTATCCGCAAGATCAACCTCCTGCTGCACAACCACCTCTAAGACAGAGTGCTCCTAGGCAAAGAACCGCAATCGCATGCAAATACTGTAGAAGGCGCAAGGTATGTTCAGGGTCCCCTTCTAAGAAGCTCAATTTGAGTTGTCATAAATTACTACAATAACAATCAGAACAATGCTGACGTCATGAATAGATTCGTTGCTCGGGGTTTACTGCCGATGGCTCCGGAGGCCAATGTACTAATTGTGCCCGCTTCAAACAGGAATGTGTTTTCACTCCTGTATCCTCGGCACAGGCATTTGTACCTCTTATTGCCCTGACTGAAGCGCTTCAGCATGGCACGAATTCACATCCGGGTGTTTATGGTGCTCATGGCCAACGACTGCCGAACGACCCCGCGAATCAAAATCCTACAGAACCGTACCAAGGATATCATCCACAACAAGGCGCGCCCGGGCCACCAATGGCATACAATCATCAACAAATGCCACAGCAGGTGGCCCAATATGCGCCCCAACATGTGCAACAGCCAATTCACCCAACATACCTCCCACCAATGAATAGATCGCCCCATGATCGGGATACCTTGCCTTCTCCGACAGGCTCGCTCCCCCAACAAACACCTCCAACACATCTCCCTCCTTTGTCGAACAGATCACCATATGATCAGGGTGCTACCTTACCATCTCCGACAGGCTCATTGGATTCTCAAAAGCGTAAGCGCGAGGCAGATGAGCGCCACTTTGCCAGAGCGGCCCCATCTGCCCCTGGTCAATTCTCCGGGTATAACCGAGAGAGCAATGCTCCGTACCGCATACCATCTCTTCAAGAACAATACCAATATCATTCCTCCGTTCCATCCCCTCCTACTCGTCAATATGGATATCAACAAGGAGAGAATGTTACGCCCCGCCTACCAGCATTGCAAAATGGACAACAATATCGTTCATCAATTCCATCACCTCCTTCCAACCAACAATATGGACACCAACAAGAAGAGAACGCTCTAGCATACCGACCTATGGAAGATGGTCGGCAATCGACCCAATGGGCCTCGGTAAACTCGAATGAAGCACCACGAAATGACCCCTCTCCCAATGGTTCATCGACATCGTTTCATTCCCAGAACCCAAGCGGCAATCACCAACCTAGTCAGGTATCTCCTTATCGAGCCGAGTCTTCTCAATTTCCTCTAGCATCCCCTGCTAGAACAAACTCTGGAGGTGGAAATCGTGATCAAGTGGCAAGAGAAACTGAACGTCCTAATCAGATGAACATCGCTAATATTGTGGAACGCGATGACAATGATGTTGACCGAGATATGCTCAGACGTTTGGGCAGTAATAGATCTTAAAGACTAGTTACTAATCTGAATTTCAAGAAATTTCACACATCAGTGATTTCTCTTCATGAAATTCTTCTTGTCTACAGGTTGCCTTGTGGTGCGACGAAGAAATTTTATTGCTAGAACCAGCTGGCTGATCATTATTGTATATTGATCTGAATATTCTATTCTTAGATAGTATTCCCAAGACTGGAATATATCCTTATTCGCATATTTTTACCCCTTTCTATCAGGACTTGTCCCTACCAGAACTTGAAGTGTTCTTATCTTGTATTCATTCTCATTTATTCACAATTACATTTTTTTCTTTCACATTTTCAACCTCCCACGATACAATAATACTCCCAGCTTTGGGAACAATGCAAATAACGGAGGCTGTTACATTCTATTTACGAAATTAAAGAGAGAACGAACAAAAACCTCATATTAGTGAGGCCATTTATCTGGGGATCGGAGTTGGTTGCCGGTTTCGAAAACAAATAGAAAGGGATAGGCTTGCCTCACGGCATCATTATTTTTCAGGTGTTATCTCGGATGCTTTTTTGTTTGGGTATTCCCAGGGTGGACTCTTTCAGGAGGCATGGATGGGGTGGTGATCTGGCCAGGAGGTTTTTTGATTGTTATATTTTTGTTCTGGCGTACACTGTCCGATTTTTTTATTTCAAGACCCCAAAACTTTGGATACTGTTCTTGGGCATAGGGCGTGATTGGCCGCACTGGGCCTTCACGTTGGTTTTCCTAGTCTTGCATGTATTAAAACGGGACGCGAGAAATTCTCATGAAATCTCATGGATTGAAGGGGTTTGGTTTGGTGTATCGAGTTTTGCATGGTTTGGAGTTTGTATAAGCTCATAGCGTTGCAACATGAATGATTAGGGTCGTGGATTGAATGTTTTTGGATGGGGGTCCAAATGGATTCATGATACGGACTATCGGACATGGTTGCCAGCGACTCGTTGGTGCCGTCTGTAAAGATGCCGCATAAACGAAATACGTTGTTTTTAGTTTACTACAAAAAGATATAAAAAGTTTGAAAATATTTCAAATGGTGTCTTGTGGTTGATGGTGAATGTGAATGTGAATGTGGGTGAGAATACGATGATATATGTGTATGTAGGAGATTTACAATACTCGGAGTGAGTGATCTTCATTATATGGCTCTCACTCTATTCATGACTTCCCACCTTTCGAAATTATAACTCTGGTCTGCAACCGGATTTTATTATTCACTCCTCTATTTTTCTATCTTCTATCTTTTAACTTCTATTCGATCATATCCTCCCTCTCTGTAGATAGTATAACCTTACAAATTAACTCACAAATTAACTCATCTCATCTCATCTCATCTCATCTCATCTCATCTCATCTCATCTCATCTCTGATTCTGATATTCTGGCATTTATTCTGTTGTTTTTGGGGAGAAATTGTTTGTATGGTTGTGATGTAATGTTGTTATGTGATTAGGTGATTAGATGATTAGGTGAGGGAGGCGTCGATATATGTATATGTGTGTATGTGTGTATATATGTGTATGTATATATATATATGTGTGTGTGTGTATGTGTATGGGTGTATAAAATTGGAATTGGAAATTAAGTTTTGATGGGTAGCTAGGTAGCTAGATGAATAGATAGATGGATAGTGAAATAGATTGGATAAATATATTGGAAGTGATGAGATGAGATGGTGATACTCAGAGGAACTGGGGTTTGTGGGTTTCGGTTGGGGATTGGGTTTGTGGGTTTCGGTTGGGGATTGGGTTTGTGGAGGGAGAGGGGAGGGAGAGAGGAGGGAGAGAGGAGGGAGAGAGGAGGGAGAGAGGAGGGAGAGAGGAGGCTGTGAGTCGCTGGGTGTGGGTATTGGGTTTGGGGTTTTGATATTTGGATTTTGGATTTTGGATTGTGTGGTGGTTTTGGGTTTTTAGGATTGGGGGTTGGGGTTGTGTGTTTGAATTGTAGGGAGAAGTGCGGTTTGGGCGGGTGATAGGGGATGAGGAATGGGAATGAGAGATTTGTAGGGGAAAATAGAAGATTAGAGAGGATGATAGGGGACGATGAATGGATAATAAATAATTAGTTTACATCGGGGTGATAATATGAGGTACAAGGTGATGGAAATTGTAAAAGAATCTTGGGAGGTGAGTTGGTTTGATATTTGCGATTTAGGATTGAAAAGGGGATGGGGGTGTGAATGAGGGTTATAGGTAGGTAGATATACTTTGTAGTCTATGTTATATAAATTCTCCATGAATATCTACTGATACGTCTACATACATTTGTGCATCGCGAGATCGGGTTTCTGATGATGTGGTACTGGTGGGATTTAGATATATGGGAGAAGTGTATTTTCCTTTAGCGGAGGTGGATAAGGATAGTATTGTCGTTTGGAAAACATTTGAAGTTGAAAATGCAGTTGTGGTTGTGGCTGTAGTTGTAGTACAGAAGAGGGAAAGATCGAGAGATGGGAATTTGGAAGGCTTGTTGGAATTTGGTCGATTACCTAGGTTATTATGTGCGTGCTCTTTTGTAGGCATGAAAATGTAAGGGATTGGGGTGGAAGGTTGATGGTATTTGGGATCTCTATCTACGACACTTGGGTAATTAGGAGAAATCCATTGAAACGATTCTGCTCAATTTATTCTTGCACATCGAGCACTTCACAATCTAGCTTCCAGCACTCATCTCGATTTCCTTTCAAACTATTCATATACTCTCTCGACACTTTGAAGATTTGCCCGCCACAAATAAGATTTCACAATTTGACACCTCTCGCCATAAAAACTGCCCTCTTCATATCTTTTCTCCCTCCCTCAACCCCAGTTCCATGAAACACAATCCCCTTCCCCAATACCATATATCCGAAATCCGCACCTACACCTGCATCGACGAAAATCTTCTTGATCTCCTCCTCGGAAAATCCATGATGAGTAACTGTTTCCTTTGCTTGTTGAGCTTGTTCATTTAGCTCCTCATGATGTTCATGTCCGTGTCCATGATGACCATGTCCGTGACCATGCTCCCCATGATCATGAGGATTTCCATACCCATCATGACTTTCAAAATCAACTACGGCCAAAATCCCACCTTTCTTCAACCTCTCTCCAATTTTCCTCGCCGCCAAAGACGGGTTTGAGAAATGATGAAATCCCAATCCCACAACCGCAATATCAAATTGATAGAGATCTTCAATCTCCAATTCCGGGGCTGGCTCAGAGGAAAGCAAGTTTCCTTGATGAGCAAACATTTCGGATGAAGAAAGTCCTTGGTTGGATGCGCGTGCGTTGTATTGCGATACCATGGAGGAAGAGAGATCGATGCCGATGGCGCGGGTGATGGTGGGGAGTAGAGCACGGGTGATGAGACCGGTGCCGCAGGCGTAGTCGAGGAGCTTGACGGTATGCTCTGGGGGAGAGGTTTCGGTGGCCCAATTGGCGCCGATAAAGGACATGGTGCGGTCTTCTTGGATGATGGAGATTAGTTGTTCCATGGTTTTTTGGAACCGCGTGTCGTAGGTTGAGGCGTGCGTGCTGGGTTGGTGTTAGTTGTGATTATGAGAGAAAGTGGAGGGGTGCGAGGATGTATGGGAAATGCACGCAATCCACAATTGTAGGAGAAGACTTGTCTTCTCGATCTCTTGAACACTGGTTCGAATCAAGAAGCAATAGCCCTAGCGCTTGCCAGAGCAAAAAAGCCTCATCCCACAAGACACCCCATTGCCTCATCATTACTCTCCGAACTAACAGTTAATACTCACTCCCAATGTTCTCTATTCTTCTCCGTCACATCCCCATCATGTATATGCTCCGCCATTTTCAACGTAGAAATCTTCTCAAAAACCTTGTTTCTGTATCCAAACTCTCCAATCTCAATCCCTCTCAAATAATATCCTAGAATCAATGATAATAAAACAACAAATAGGATATGATAAGAGCTTCTAATCATGAATATGTATTCTTTTCTACAAAGAAAAAAGTTGCAGGACACTGGACAAATGTTCGTTATATTTATATCATAGGTTTGTCGTGCTTTAGTGGGGTGTAACCATAGTGGGGTTGAAAGAATCAAAGAATGAATGGGGATCTCGCTTGTCGGAGAGCTTTCGGGGACTTTTTGACATACTGGGATTAGACGGAATAGGGGGCTTGGGGGAAGCATGGAAACATGGAAATATGTCTCCGAATGTATAAGGGTTGTGATACAATAATGTCTACGGGTCGGTGAGTTATTTTCTTGATTCTATGGGCGAGTAATTGAAGATGGGGGTCTTGGTGTGTTTGAAGTTGAAGTAATTCCTTGGATGACAATACAATACTTGCGCGCTGTGTGAGCTATTCCCAATTTAAATTACTTTGTCATATGAATTACTCTAATAGCATGAATCACTCTCTAATATCAACCTTTTTCATTATACAAAAAATACTCTCGTTGGGCAATTGCTCCATCGTATAGAAGACTCTTTTTGTGTGGTTACTCTCATTGTATCAGCTATGTAATTATATTGTATGCTATTTTGCTTTTGAAGTACAATGGAAAACTATCGAATCTATTGGTTGATACCTTCAGCAGTAGGTAATGGGATAGCCTTGTAGAGCAAGATGAGCGCAGAGTGAGATTCTCCACCACCAGCAAGAGTAGCAATCTTCTCAGCATCGACCTCTGAAACCTTGTCATCGTTGAACCACCACCATTTTCCATCTTCCTCACCGCGTACGCCAGTTTTACGGTCAAGTGGTCCTTGCTTCTTCACATATGAAGTGTAATGACCGCTATCCGCACTAGAACCTTGATGGGTAACAATACCACGAAGTTCGTAAAGACCAGACTTGTTGGCTCCGTCATCCTTGGCAAGCTCTGGGTTGATTAACGCATTCAACTCCTTCTTTGCCTCCAAGATTGAAGCAGCTTTTTCCGCATCAATCTCCGCGTCGGTCTTATAAACAACATCCTCCATTTCGGTATCGCCGTCTTTAGACTTGGTCTCCTTCTTCTCATCTTTCTTCGAGGAAGATGATGCTTCATCGACAAGGCCAGCTTTCTTGTCAGCTTCTTCTTTATCGTGGATGCGCTTTTGGCGCTTGCGAGCACGTTCAATATCTTCCTCTTCCTTTCGTACTTCACGAACCTTATCCCTAACCGGGATCAACATTTGCTTGAGCTCATCCGTACAGAATTCTACTACGTCCAATTCATGAGGAAATGTAACCTTGCGCATAATCTTTGCTTTCTTTTGAGCCTCGCGTTTCCAAAAGAATCGAACGAAATGGACAGTGAGGTATTTGGGAAGGCGTGAGATTTTGGATTTTTTGGTAAAAATGGCATCGCGACCAAGGACTTCAGATCTCTTTTCGATCTTCTCCTCCAATCCTGCGACCAGTCCATCTCGAAGATGATTAGTTGCGCCAGTGATATGGCAATCCAGCTTCAAGAAAACATCATTCCCCTTGACTGGTTGTTCGCCTGCGTCCTTTGCACCTTGCTCATCACACTCCGTGATAGATTGGAATGCCCCCGCCATATATTTGTCAACAAAAGAGACCGATGTAGATGATGATCCTTCAGTGTTTCCACCTTCACCAATCTTCAAGCTTGATCGTAGTACCTGGAGGATTTGCGTCCAAGCTTCTTCAGCATCTTGTTGTGCATAGCCGTGGCCATTCTTGGCTTTTTCTTGAAATTGTGGGAAGGCTTGTCGTAAAGCGTTGAGGTAAATGAGTGGCGGAAATGCCTCCTGTGTTTCTGACATCTGCATATATAAATCTCGCATCGCAGCTGTCATATCGAGTGATTGGGGTCGACTGAGTTGGAATGCATTGAGCATGTTGTTGGAACCTGTTTCAGATGGTGTGAACTTCTGCAGGCTATCTTGCAACTCTGGAATCGCTCTGAGCGTTTGTAATGTTGAGTTGAGATAGCATGTGTTTCCCAAGTTTTGTAATCCCGCTGGTGTTGCTCCAACTTGTTGTGCAGCTTCAGCTTCGGTCATATCTTCAACAAATTTTATTGGTTCTTTTGGCTTAGAAAGTGTTCCTCCCTCTGCAGGTGTTCCCATCATCAAAAATGTCTGTCCTGGCTTGGCACCGATTTTCGAAAGATCGGTGTCATCTTTAAGTTGCCCGCCTTTAACCAAGATCTTTTGTCGTTCTGGCTCAACGCCAGTGAGAGAATAGAGCTGATATTTTAATGTTTCGCCGTTGGACGTAGGATCGAGCTCGATATCATATTTCTTGCCTTGATGCTTGATAATGATCGGTATATTCGACATGATGATGAGAGGCTCACGTTTTGTGAAGGTTACTGGGAGAAAGATAGGTAGGTGGAAGGTAGACTTGTAGATAAATACCTAGCAAACGGGACGGTTCTCTTAGCGCGCCTTACGTAGCTTTGTGGGATGCCTGACTCCACCATGTAACCCGATTACCAACTCAAGTGAATGATTTAAAACACTTTATGTCTTGGTATAGTATGAGTTACTCAAGAATACTAATGATATTTGGAGATTGATTGATTGAGGATATAATAAAATAGAAGGCTTCAATTACAATTTCTCAAATTTCAATTCAAAATAATGATGATCTGATTTGATGCCAATTATTGAAAGAAAGTAAAATATATTTGGTTGGAAGATTTCCTTCGTCCATGCGGCTTTTTCCGTCCGGGGCTGCTTGACTCCTTGACTACCTACTAGAGAAAGCCCCACCAAAGCATCGACAACACGTACGGCTGGTTGGTACTGTTGATGACATCTTCTTATTGAAAGGAGGCATTCGAAATAAGAAACATCAACGAGATGGTATGTAGCAAACTAAAACTCCTATCAATATAGCTTGAAGATTTTGAGAATGACAGAGTTTTACTAAATTTAAATCTTGCAGTCTCAATCATTGCGACCTTATCTTCAATGCGTGCGATCCTCCCTGACAGCAGCTCTATGTCTCTCGAACTTCGCATCCCAGACCTCCGAAAGACACAATGTGCCCGAAATTGAAGCTAAGACTTCACCGGAAGTTCTGTTGAATTCATTGACAGTCGCACGGAATGAGAATGAACGGGTTCTCATTGAACCCAGTATCAACAGTGTCCGAATCAGTATCAACATCAAACAAGCGGACGAAATTGAGCACATTCTCGTACACAAATTTGCCAGGTTTTTGACTCAACGAGCAGAAGCATTCTTCATTCTTAGGAGGAAACCCGTTAAGGTGGGTGGCAGGTTTAGATGTGCAAAGGCCGGAGGCTGATTTTGAATAGGGCTACGCTATCTCGTTTTTGATTACGAACTTCCACACAGAGGAGATGTTAAAGCATAAGCTGGTGGACTTCATCATAGAATTCATGGAGGAGGTCGATAAGGAAATCTCGGAGATGAAGCTATTTGTGAGCTATACCTTCCCCTTAATCAGATTGGTCGCTGACAGACAATAGTTGAATGCTCGTGCAAGATTCGTTGCAGAATCGTTCTTAACACCAGTAAGTCACCCTGCGATATTTCCGACATTAACTAATGCAATACCTTCAGTTCGATTAAGCTTGGGGCTAGTTTTCGGGGTATACAATATTGATAGTAGCATATTTGAGATCAGCGGTGTGGGAAGTCGACATTTTGATCCGGCGTTTCGGAGAATAAAAGATCTTATAAACAGGCTATCAGCTGGTATTCATTACCTTGTATCATTTTTGGGTGAAAGAACATATATCATCACTGCGAAGGACATGCAATCTTCATTGAGGTCTTATTTCATATCGCAGCTCTGACACCTTTATCTTCAGACAGTCTTCTAAATTGACTGTTCAAGTCACAGCTGTGTATCTCCATTACGCCGTGTTATATAGTCTTTGTACTGTGCAGTGAAAGGGGTCTCAAACGAGCCTTGTGGGATCTTGAATGGAATCAAACTACTTGAACTTACCCGCAGTAACAGTCTTCGAATTGTATAAGCTCAAGATGATACAAATAATGCGAGACTAGAATTGAAGAGCTTGAGCTTCATAATTAATACTTGAGCCGTGGACATTCATCGGAGCACTTGAAACGTATTGAACTTACCAGTTAAACAGTCGCCATGAGTACAACATGTGACCGGTGTAATATGAACCACGCTAGTGATGCATCTGCAAGGTTGTCATTCAAACACCGACTTTTCTAGAATCTCACTATCGCTGTTATATGCGACGATGTTATCTTCAACTTAAGCAGAAACTGTGTATTATATACATTAACCTATACCATGATAAATGAGTCCCTTAACCTCTCGGGTTCAACTGGTGATGTTGAGGAGATTTTACCTAATAATTCCGACTGCGTCTTTTTAAATCCCTAGCCAAAAGCTCGACGAATGAACCTGGACCTAGGGTTCAAACTTGACACTGGCAATTAATGAATCAAATCTCATTGGTTCGAGTCTGCGGCTTTGAATACTCATGCATAGAGCTACACCTCCTTCGGCTCTTGATGGGCCTTTGAAAGAAACAATTGTGTCAATACTGCCAATGTGTGGTTACACATCACCTGCACTCCCTCCAATCGACACCTCAAATTCCCCGTTTTCTGCAGACCTAAATCACTATACGCCCGTCAGGGGTTCCAAACCTTCCTATAAACCATTGGATATTGATAGAGAAGATATTCGCCTTCTTATCCTTCCATGCGCCGGCTCCAGTGGCCAGAACTATGAATTTATTCACGTTTCTCTACTCACCAATGTTAAATACGAGGCATTGTCTTATGCATGGGGTGATCTGCCTGCAAACAAAACAATCAAGATTGATAAGACAGATTACTACGTGCGAGACAATTTATTTGCAGCATTAGAAGCTCTTCGCTTGCGGAGTCGGCGGCGTTATCTGTGGGTGGATGCTGTATGCATCAATCAAGAAGACTTTGATGAGCGCAATGCGCAAGTTGCACTTATGAGTCAAATATATGCAAAAGCCGATGAAGTCATTGTGTGGTTGGGCAAAGCTGGAAGAGATTACTGGGGCGCAATGACTTTGCTAGACAGTCTAGGCAATTCCGCAACGTCTGCGAAAGAGCTATCGAGATCCATAACAGAACATGCAGCTGTTTCTCATGTAAAGTTTTGGACTGAATTGTCTATGTTGTGCCACAGGCCATATTGGCAAAGACTTTGGATTATACAAGAGGTAGTCCTTGCTTCAAAAATCAAAGCGCACTGCTCATCATTAATCTTTGACTGGGAGCGCCTAGATTGGGTGTTTCGACGAATGAATACTATTCAAGAGACAGCCACAAGCCTATATGTTGGTACATCGTTAGCTGGAGGCGGCGATAAAGGATACTTTAGCTTACTCCAGACACTGGAAGCTATCCGAAATAGTGTACCCTCTCGATTATCCAAGAGGAGACAAGAGATCAAGGAACGAATCCCCTTGCTAGATCTTTTTCTGACTCACAGTGAAGCATTATGCACCGATCAAAGAGATAGGTTTTTTGGCTTGTATAGCCTTGCGAAGGATTGCTGCACCAAGGCCACGCCTGCAGATTATAGACAAACGTTCTTCGAAACTATATCTATGGTTACTCTGCATCATTTCCGTCGCCATACCAATAAGCTTGACGTTCTTCAAAAATATGAACATTTCCGACAAACTCTTGCGAGGACGATGCCCAATTCAATCCACATCGTGCAAGATTTCCTCGATCATAACCCAGATGCTTTGGAAGGTCAAGAGATCATGAAAGCAGTTGGAAACGTTCGAGGATCTATTGTGTATATTAGCCCACCGCTAAAAGATTTGTGCTTAACAGACTATCTTCGAGATTTAGACTTTTTAGACTTGAATGCAACTCCACTCATTGAGGATCAATTGCGTTACTTCTTTCATCAACGCGGCAGTAAAGGATACTTTCACAACGATCGACTTCATAATATTGATGATATTTGCAATTATGGGAGTGGTGAGAGATGCTCATTTTCAGCTTTTTACTTGAACGCTGCCCCTAGAGTCGAGGATATCGATCTGCTGGCTTCTGATGTATCAAGCCCGCGTCAAAAATCGCTGCCACCAGGAAAGAGAGATCGAAAAGTGAATCAACTAATGTCCTCTTTTAATCAAACCCTCCATGAAGCAAAATGGAAGGCAGAGCAATCTAGCAATACTGCACAAGTCAGGTTATTCTTGGAAGAGAATGGGATGATAGGATACGTATCAGACAATGCACAAGTTGGCGATCTCATTGTTCAGTTTCGCGCTACAAGCACCGCTGTAGTCATGAGAAAGGAAGGAGATAAAGGTGCCATTGTCGGAAGAGTATGCGATCTACTCGATCGCCGTTCGAAGCATGGAAAGTCACGACCTTTTGTATGCCAAGATCAAGACATCGACGAGAATGGATTTGATGTGCCACCTCAATTAATATGTTTACGCATGAAGCTTTCAGCCTTGCGAATGCTGGCCAATGGAAGTCCAATGTATGATTGAACAACTACTCTCGATAATTGGGACATGCATTCTTGAGCCGTGAACTTAAGGTTTAGATCGAGTCAGAGCGAACAAATTTATCTCTCCAGATTTTACACTCAATTTAGGAATCTAAAGATAGTTCCTCCGTGTGGCTCTAAAGATCGAACAACGCTTAAAATAACATGCAGAATAGACGGGCTGGCACTTTCAGTATTTTCTTTTCTGAGATCTAAGGATGTTTCCCCATTCATCCTGTCAAATAACGAAATCTACGGAACGGAATTTCAAAGAAGGTCAACGAGAGCAAACCTATCTGGGATTTTACTGCGTCTTACTGTATCTTGAAACTACACTAGAAATCCTCGACTTCAACTATCATGGAACCTTCGAAGCTCAGAAGAGTTGATGCCATAAACCTCTTCGGTACCCTGCGGGCCCCTTCAGCCTTTTTCGTTAAGATTCGATTGAGCTTTTGTCTCATCCCCAGACTGGACTCGCGTCACCCGTGATCAATCGTCTTCAAGTTTTAGCGAATTAGATGATTTTGAGTCTTCCGATGCGGCTGTCTACTTCACAACGCGCAAAACAACATTCGTGAGGCAGAAGATCAGTTATGTGCAGGTACTATAGTTACCACGGAACGATAGCCAAAATGTATTGCGCATGCAAAATTTTCAAACTTCAACGAGTTACCACGTGAAGTACACGCGACATGACTAGGGAATATACATTACCGAGCCCACGTCCAGACCTGGTAACTCACGCAAGTATATCTATCCAGCAATATTTTCCTCGGAAAGTGACTAATGGAAAGACTGGGTAGGATAGGAGCTTAGATTTTGTCCTGGGCTATAGTAGGATATAGACTCTACCTTGACGATGTAGGCGTGTGCATGATCTTTTTGGTCAAGAGCCATTGAGATATGTATTGGCTGGATAGATAAATTGCAATTACACTGGCAATGTACAATATAGCACAACACGGTACCAGGTAATAATATGGGTCTTAATGATATACTCACAAACATTAATACTATGCATGCCTTGAGATTTGTGACGAGGTTCGGAACCACACTTAGTCGTTGTGGTATGCTTATTGCCTAATGAGCTTTCTAGAAAGGGGCAGATACTGCAGCCAAGGGCCCAAGGCTGAGCTCCATTGTGAAGTCAATACGAACCTCGGCATTAATCGCTACCAGGAAGGAATCCAGTCAAATGGCAATTGATGATCAATGTGAAAATTAATAATTCTGGAAATAGATAATGAATCCACTTCTTGTTATTGCAATGAGAAATTGAGGTTTAGAAAAAGTTTTAGGGGTTATGTCGGCAAATATTAGTGAGACATGTGAGTGGCCGTTGGAACATTTCGGCCCGCTTTTGCATGAACCTCGGTCAAAAACGAGTTCCTTATCAAAGAAATATTTGGTCAGTGATTAATAAAACATGAAAAGTATGAAGTTGTTTTCAAAGAAGAATTATACTACACTGCTCATGTATACTTGAGTTTGGATTTCTACAATAAGAAACCGCGCCTCATTCATCAAAATAGACCTCTTTCTCACACGTTCATTCTAATTTCAAGCATTCACGATAACAAGATGACTGATCGACCAACGCTTGTCCCACCTCCTCCTATCAATCCCTCGAAATCTGCCATCGAGAATGTGTTAGAGCTTCGGGAGCTGAGTCAAATTGCGCCAGTAAGCACCCGATTTAGCACCCGATTTCCCACAGTTCTGTGCAGACTGCTCAATGGATCTTTGAATCTAACCTCTCTCTACCCAGGACATCTTCACGAATACTCACCCCTTATGGCATCCCCCCGGCGCACGAGGCATATACGGAGGGGCAATTATCGCACAATGTCTTGCAGCCGCACAATGCACGGTCCCGCATAACTTCACGGTACACAGCATGCACTGCTATTTTGTTTTAGCTGGGAATTCCGATTTGCCAGTCATGTACTACGTTGAACATGTTCGTGAAGGCCGCTCGTTCGCTACTCGCACAGTACAAGCACGTCAGAAGGGAAAATGTATATTCACAACCACCATGTCATTTGTGAGGGAGAATAGTGGAGGGAAGCAAAAAGTAGAACATGCGGTTCCAATCCCCAAGAACATCAGACAACCGAATGAGGATGAAGAGTTGTTACAGATGGAAATGAGGACTGATAGTCCATTTGTTAGTCAGAGGCTCGAGATTTTGAATGGGGAGACTGGGCGACCACATGAACAGAGAACCCGGCAGTGGATCAAAGCAAGAGGAAGGATCAGTGATGAAGGTGGACATCAGGCGCATTTGAATGCATTGGCTTATATGAGTGATAGCTACTTCATTGGAACTGTTGGGAGAATACATAAGCTGTGGAGATATGGCAGTGAAGAAAAGAAAAAGAAGGGTGAGACCGCAGAAGAAAACGACAACGAT